TCAGGAAGACTTTTTCATTTTCGCTGTCTCCGTTTACAATAGATCAGAGGCCTCTGCTGCACCGCTGAACTCCTGAACTCCTGTATACATTACTAATGAACCTCTGGATTGTTATACAGTCATATGTTAACAGGAAAGACAGGGGGTCTCTCTCTCTCTTTTCCTTTCTGTGTGTGTGTGTGAGTGTGTGTGTGTGAGTGTGTGTGAGACAGAGAGAGAGAGCAATGCATTACTATCATGAAGGTTTCTTGGCCTGGGCCTGCTCTAATTGATAGGGGCTGCTGGTATTTACTTACATTCTCCGGGTGGATTAAATCTCAAAGGAAAGGGGAGGAGATGGAGGTTGTTTTTCCCTTGGCTTTGTTTTAATATGCATGCTTGTGTGTGTGTATAAATATAGGAGCGTGTTTGTGTCTGTTTTTGTCGTCCCATGTGGTTCTGCGTTCGTCCTTTCTCCATGACGAGAACTGTCGAATCCTGTAAAGCTGCATGACGTCCAGGCACCGCACAGCACCAAATCTAATCAGCGGCTACACTGCAATGTACGCGCTGCTCCGGTGGCTTAGGTTAATGTGTGCGTGTTTGTGTGCATACGGCAGCGCGGAGACTCGTTTACTGCACACAGTCAATAGTAAATATCATTATCTCTGTGGCTAGTTTTTCATTTCGCTCGCTGTGTTTAATATGTAGCCCCGGCCCGCTCGGATAGCCGAGATGCTCGCTCGGCTCCTGTGTATCAGAGCAGAGCTGAGATCTCCCAGCTGAGGCTGTGGAAGAAGTATATAAAAGGGAATGGACCAGCGACTTCCAAACACTGACTGACTGCAAGCGAGGAAATGCGAGCCACAGACAGCAGACTGGTTTCTTTCTTCAGCTGCAGACTGAAGTTGCAGACGTGAAGCTACAAGCGGCCGTTTGCAGACTATCAGCTCTCGGCCGCCGTCGCCGCCGACACACTGAGATGATGAATCCTGTCTGCCCCTCAAACCTCCGTCTGATCAGAGGCTGATGACGAGTGTTCATTAAAAATTACAGAAAAACAATCAGAACCACAATTTCAGCTTTCTTGTCTCAATGAAAACAGCTTTTACATTATTTGTTGCTCTCAGAGTTTCATCACTGTTTCGTGTAAATGAGCGTAAAGTGTGTTTGAAAAACAAAACACAGTTTTTTGGTCGGAGCGTGTTGCTTCAGGTGTTGGTAAAACTTTGAACTAGTTGCAGATCGTAGACTTTATTTGGAAAATGGACGTAGCCACCATAATGCGGAGTAATGTTTAGAGGCTTTTAACGTTTGAATCTTGAGGAGAACTTGAGGATCCTACTCCTGCCAAAACAGTAGCAATTGGTATTCCCGCCCTAAAGCGTGCTCTGCTTCATCACCTGTTTTACTCTATTTGGAAACATAATTTACAAAATGAACACCTTGCTGTATTGAAGAAGACTTAAAGGTTGGGATGGAGACTATAAACTCAATCTGGAAACATTTGCTAAATTAGCAAATCAGTTGAGAAGCAGAGTCGTTTTTTTGTAGACTTCTGTACAACTGGACTCGGTTTTTGCAATCAGAGAAGTTGCCCCCTGTTGGCCGGTAGAAAGAATGCAGGTTTAATGCACTTTGAGGCTACGTTAACTTCTTTTACACAGCCTGTGTTTGACATCGATTCATTTTCATTTTTTGACCTTGGTTTTTCCATTTCAGGGGGTTTAGGTGCCAGTGGATTTTTCTCACATTGTTTGTTTTAAACCATATTTGCTGAAATGAAGCAACACTTATCACACTCTTGGTCTAAAATCTGTCCTATGTTGGATTAGTTTAATGTGAGTTTGGTATCTTTGTGTAAAGTCAACTAACTTCGCTGGCTAGCACAATGCAGTACATGAATATCTGTGTAGCTTGGTTAGCATTTGTTTTGGTGTCAGACAAACTACATTGGTAGAGTTACTAAAATTACTCCCTAACAAAAGCATTTATTTTTGGTTTGAACTCACCTTATCAATGATTTGCACTTTGCTTATTCGATTCAGTGATTGTTTTTAACCATTCAGAGTTGATGGTACAAAGAAAAATCCAATCAGCTGTTTGATTAACTTGGCAACAAGGACAATTTGACGTCACACGGCAACCATCAAAACGTTAGTCCAAGCATTGGTTATCGATGGGCAGGTCATTTCTTTTGCCAGCTTACTTTTTTTTCTTTGAGATCAAGCTCCTACTACGTTTTGTTCTCCAAAATCTGATGTCTTAAAATTCAGACATTCACACCTGGTTGTTTTGTCTAGAAACAGTTTCTCAGTTAAATTTCCAATAAATCTGCTCTAAATCTTATTTATGCTAAATGAAAATCCAAACGAACATAACTTTTTTTGAACTTTTGAGCACATTTCATCACCAAAACCCCAAATAAAGTAGATACGTTTTAGCAGAGTGGTGCACATCCCTCCAGTTTATGAAGCTGTAGAAAGTAAGACAGGCTGCTCTGGAGGCTCGTAGTGAACCAGCACCTCACTGAGACACCTTATGTTGGGTTTTGTCACCTTTTCGTACACTATGATGGCAGATTTTATCCAAATAATCCACCCTACGAGAGCGGACAGACCGCAGACAGCGACTCCAGATGGTTGCTGGACTTCAGACAGACAACAGACTGCACATGTTGCTCACGCAGCACAAATGTTTGCTGCAGACGGCGGACAGCTTGTCCAGCATTGTCTTAACATTAACACAATCTTGCAGATGACATTTCAAGTAAACAAACAACAGACTCCTGGCTTTCTGTGTCTAACATTTTGCTCAACATGCCACCGAAAATGGGAAAATTGCCTCCAAAATGGGAACCCTCAAATGCGACGTCGCCACCCCAAATAAGATTTTCTTTTGTGCACAAGTGCCCATTTTCTCTATCGCAGTTAGTGACGTCTTCTCCGGGCTGAAACCTTTTGATTTCATCTGCCTCTGCGCTCGTTTCCGTGCCACGCTTGTGCACGCATGCGAGTTAAACCGCCTGTGTGTTGGTGCGTGCTCGTCAGGTTGGAGATTGCAGGGTTGATTATGTGTCTGATGTTGTTGACAGAGTGACATCCCTTCTAATGAAATAATAGTCTAGTGGCAGAGTGCTGGAGGATTGCACATTGTAGACTTCAATTACAGACAAGATGATTTTTTTTCTCTCTCCTCTTTCCTTTCAGTCAGAAAAAAAAAAAAAAAAGTACAGGTTTTTCTTCCATTTTCTCAGACGCGCTTACAACAAACAAAAAGGCGGCGAATAAAGGACTTTTTCCCAGCCAGACTTGGGTCTAAGTGTTTTTTCTTTAGATAATGGATAGAGAGGACATGGCATGCCTTAATTCACCGTCTCTTTAGTCAATCTGATGCCACAAAACAGCCATTGCCCTCCTTGTGAGCACAAATCATCAAATCAGCCGAAGCACTGGTTGTTTTCCAGCCCAAACTGCACACTTCCCTCTTGTTGTAATGCCTCCTCTTTTCTTTGAGATGCATTTTGCTCTGCTACATGCATTATTCCGCGGACCGTGTAATTTATTTTCCACAACAAATGATCTTTTTAAGGTTCCAGTTTTCTGCTTTCCTCGTGTGAAATTAGCATACATTTCCTAAAAACATGCGTCCGTGTTGAGAGAGCTTTTTAAAGCATAACAAAGAGTAAAAAAAAAAAAAGAAAAAAGGGCAGATTCTTTGATTTGCAGCTCCTTTTTTTTCTTTTTTTTGGGTCTTCTAAATTATAAAATGACTAAATAACACCAAGGGCAGACATCAGAAAACGAGCGGAAAGTTTAACTGCTCGCGAAATTGTTTGGATTCAAATGCGCTTACGGTGCGACGCGACAGGTCAGAAATCACTTTCTTTGAGTTTCTATACCTTCCGAGCTGATGGCATGAAGCCGTGAGAGTTATGAGGAAGTCACAGCTCGGTGGTGGTACGTTCTGTACAGGCGGTAAAGTGCCTTCAAACTACCTCAAAGATTGAAAAAAGGTCACAAACTGTCTCGACAACTTCTGGAAAGAAGAAATGAAAGTCGCAACGCACACAGTGAATTCTGAGCGATCAGCCGTTTGAATTTATCAGATCACAAATTTGTGTTTGAGCTGAATTCTAAATTCTCTGATTACAGCGTCTTAAATGTCAATATTTTCTGGTTTCTTTCCTCCTCAGTGACAGTAAACTGAACGTCTTTGGGTTGTGCACAGAACAAGAACATTACCTTAAACTTTAGGAAACACTGATCGACATTTTCATAAAAGACTAATCAGGTTTTTGAGAAAATAATCAAACAATTAATAAATTAAAAAAAAAAAAAAACAAACCCTGTTAGTTTAAGCCCTAAAGGGAAAATTCATGCATTATGAATTTTGTGTATATTTCAATAGTACAATTTGTCTGTATCTACATGTGCACTATCAGTGTTTTTCTGCTGTGCATTAATGTCATTTTCCCCATTTTTAGAGAACTCAGTAATCAACGGCACTCACCAGTATTTCTTGTTTGTCTTTCCTTATGATGTCACTACATTTTGCACCGTTTCCTTTGCTGCTTTGATCTTCATCCAACCAATCAGCTCAAACCCAAAGTCCAGAATCTTTAACATTTATAGGACAAGATAAAACTTTAAATTCTTCTGCTCGATGTTCCAACTTTGAGAAACTACACGAGAAAATACGTAATAGAAAAACAACAAGATATGAGTTTAATATATTAGTCAAAATAACAATAAGTGCATTAAAATTAGAATGGATTAGAAAAAGTAATGCACTAAGTAATACTGGCAATGATTCTGAGGTAGTAAAGTAGCATCAGACAATAAAAGGAATGCAACACACGACACTGAAACTGATGTTCCACAAACTGTTGAGAGAAGTGATGTTGATGTGATTGTTCAGATTTAAGTGTTCCGGCCGTCATTCCTGCAGAAGGAGGAGGAGTTGTTTGAAGTCTCACCTTTCTCTCTCTCTCTCTCTCTCTCTCTCCTGGGTGTTTTCAGGGTGGACCCGATTCCCTACGACACTCCCAAACCAGCAGGACACACCCGGTTCGTGTGCGTTTCGGACACGCACTCGCGTACAGATGGCGTCCAGATGCCCTACGGCGACGTGCTGCTGCACATGGGCGACTTCACCGAGCTGGGGCTGCCCTCCGAGGTTAAGAAGTTCAACGACTGGCTAGGTACTAAACTGCTTAACACGCGCATTCATCCGCACGCATGCATTGTTTCCGCGCTCGCACACCGCCGACCAGTCCGTAATGAGGCCAGAGGCACGAGACACGTTGCGTGCTTAACTGGTAACCGGACCACACAATGAACCTCCCGCCCCTCTCCCCTGTTGACCCCCCAACTGCTGTGCTAAAGTGTCCAGTTTAACCCGTCTGACCTAACACCCTGGTTCAGTTAACCTCTGACCTCCCCCTCTGGCTCCATGCTGTGGGTGGGAGTCCTGGGCTTTGTGTGTCTGTATGTGTGGTTTCAGTCCCAGCAGCCAGTGTTTCATCTCTGGACCCTGATCTGAAACGACTCTGCAGCATTTTTTATTTTTTTTCTTGTCCCTCTTATGTAGTCATGTTTCACACACAAGAGAATAAAAAAAAAAAACACGCATGCAAGCCGACGTTGCTTCTCACCAAGCGCAGAAATCGATAAGTGCCACCCACCAGTCTGACCTGTAACACTGTTGAGACGTCTGAACTCTTTCTCTTCTTGTTCCAATCATTTGTGTTCGCCCGATCGGCCCTGGGCAGCTGAAACAGAACAAGCTCATGAAATTTATTGGGAAGGAGTGCAAGAGACTCGACGGAAGCCGATTCTATAGGCGGATAAATTCGCCCTGGGTGCTACAATTTGCAGCAAAGCCGTGTCTGCGTGAGTTGAAAACGTTTAAACCTAAAAGAAATGTGAATCCGGCTCATGAGACGAGGGCAAAACGGAGACACGCTGGAGGAAATTACTGAAAGAAGTACAGTTCTGAAATCAGTCACACAAACGCCCTCCCTGCACAAAACCGGTGTGCACGATGTTCACAAGCGCTACGTAACGTCTCGCGCAGCAGTGAATAAACATGGACTGCAAAAACAATCCATCACCTCATGGAAAACTCACTTTTGCTGCACATTTCTGCACCAGTCTGCACAGAAAAGTAGATGTAAAACATGGGAGATCTGGGCTTCACGGTGGCAGAATCCATGCTCAGTTCAGTACTACATTTTTTACAAGAATGGAAATGTTCATTTTCCCATTCAGCTATCATGAAAACAAAGCTCAGTTTCTTTGATTAAGCAGTAAAAAAAAAAACATGCAACAATCATGTCATGAGTGTGAAAAGAAGCCACCATGACTTACTGTCATTGTTTCAGAGTAGAGAAAAAAAAATACAAACCCCATCAAGTGGCTCCTCTCAGACTCTATGTTTGGGGTGTCAAACACTTGCTCCCTGCAGAGTTGGGAGGTGGCTGTCAAAGCTCTGCCTCTGCCTGCACAAAACTGATGTGCATGATGTTAACAAGCTCGACGTAACGCCCCTCACTGGGCCAGTAGTAGTGAATACAGGTGGGCTGCAAAAACAGGCCATCACATGATAGAAGATTTGCTTTTGCTGCATTTTTTCTGCACCAATCTGCACCGAAACTGGAAAATATCAAGATCTAGGATTGGTGGTGGCAAAATTCTTGTTTAGTTCAAGACTGATCGCTTGCTTTGTTTGCTAGAATGGAAATATTCCTTTTCTAGTATTCAGCCATGATAACATAAAGCTCACTTTGTTGGACAGAACAGTCAAAGTCACGAGTGTAAAAAGAAGCCGCCATGACTTGTTTTTTTGTTTCAGAATGGGAGAAAAAAATAAACCCCATCAAGTGGTACTCTCCTCCAAATCTATGTTTTGAGTATCAAACACTTGCCCCCTGCAGAGTTGAAAGGTGGCTGTCAAAGTTGTGCCTCTCCGAAGACGACAGCGGCTGCAGTCAGTCTGGATTCGCAGCACTTCCACTGGATTCCAACACTGACCCAGTTTTCACGGCGAAGGGAAAAGAAAAAAAAAATCCAGTTTTTAGAAACTTCTCAAACCAACTCCGGCAGCATAATCCACTTCTACAACTCTCTGCATGCTCGCTATGTTCAAACAGCCATATTTTCGACAAGAGTTTTGATGAAAACAGCTTCCACTGCACTCATCGGGCGCCGTCCTGTCAAGTTCACAGCCTCTTGATCTTGTGCCGCTTTGCTAGCTATGAACTGAATCTCACTAATGCAGATGAATTTGAAAACTCCCCTTAGAACAACCAGGGCTGTAGTCACATCAGTGTTTTGGTTTATTGTTTTGCAGTTCAGACTGAAGTGGTTGAATCTCTTCTTCCTTCTTATGTGGATGGTTGTTACACCTGAAGTACACCAGGGCTTCAGTGTGCAGCACAAAATGTGTACAGGGCAGAATTAACTGGTCGCATCAGTTTCAGTAAATCTGACATTAGAATGATTAATTTTATCTTTTCCAACTAAGTTTTGCTCACACTCCTGTCTTGAGTTGCTACAGAAAGCAAAGTAGCGACGAGAGGCTTGTCCATGCCCAGCCGCCTCACAGTGTTTACCTTCATCGGTAGCGTCTTCCTATAGTCTGCAGACGAGGTGTTTCAGTGACGTCTGTAAATCGCAGCTTCAGAGAACAGCTTGGGTCGAACCGTCCCTCTAAACTGCATGAATCTCTGCATGTACGCCGGTCGCATCACCATCGCAAGTGAATCCTGAAACATGATAAAATGACCAAATATTATGGATCACGTTTACTTGTGTTGCAAAGAGCCAAAGCACGGCAGGGATCAGAGGTTTTTCTGTCAGGGCATAAAGCCAAAGAAGCACAGATTATAATTATGAAAAATTGTTAATCTGCACCTGGATTCCTGTTTGTAATAATTTAAATAGTGTGTTAGGAAGTGACCAATGTGAACAATAAAGGCTGTCATACATTAGTCGGCACCAAAGTGAACATAAAATATGCACCCTAAATGCAAAAAGTCAGTGAACCAACATCAAAAGTTAATCTCAAGACCTGTAATTGCAGGTTTGATGTTAGTAAAACACCAAAGTGGTTAAACCTCTAAGCAACAAGCTGGTTCTTGGTGTTTCCTGCTCCTGTGGACTCATTTTACAGTTTAATCTAAAGTCCTGCACCTCTGTGGAAGAAGAGAAAACTCAGACACGTCGTAGGTATAACATCGTTTCAAGCCATGGATCACAAAAAGAAAGTTGGATTTCTCTGATTATTTATTACACAAAAAAGTTTTTAAAAAACTTTGAATCATCCTACATTTCCATGGCTTCACCGTTGTACCCAGAAGTGCAGAATTTCTGGTTTTTAACAGAACGTTGTTGCTGCAAACGGTTTGTTTTTAAGTCACTTTCATTAAATATCACAATTTTAATTTAGATGCTTTCAAGTTTCCTGATGAACAGTAGGTCACACGTTTAGTTCAAGGACAGTTGGAAAGTTGAAAATCTGAAGATTTTTTGAAAAAGTTTTTATAGTTTCTGGTTTTGATCAGTGGTGATTGTTTCTAAAGATAACGTTGCTTTTAAATCCAACAACAGATTTTTTGAGGGGTTTAAGTGGCTTAAAAACACAATCCCTGCCATTGGAAGGACAAAACATGTGACGTATGAAAGTTTGGACACAATAAAATCACAGGCACGGCTCTGAAAATTCAAGATTTCTTGGCTGAAAGGGAGCATTGTGTCTGAAAGTTTAGCAGCGGCTGCAAACTGATCCATGTTTGCAGGGTTTTTATTTCTCCTCAGATACATTTGCACAGTTTTAAACAGGCTGTCAACCTTCTTGAGCTTCATGAATAGTGAACGTGATTTGCAGCCACAGCAGTTCACCCACTTCACCGGCTGACTCCTTAAAGTGCTGCCAGGTGCTGTGCCCTTAATTCCTCCGAAACACAGACGCAACAAACACACAATGCACTCCAGCACAAAGAGCAAGCACACATTCATGCGGGCGCTTGGACTTCTCCTGCTCCTTTCTTCTTCTGTTTTCCACTGTGTCACCCCAAAACAGCACCTGGCAGCACCAGGAGGTCGTCCATCAGCCCAGACAGTGTGTGTGTGCGTCCGTGCTTTGTGCAGTCATTGTTAAAACACAGATATTGGCCATAATGGAGAATCGATGCGGAGCAAAGTGGAAAATGACTTTGTGTAGTTGGGAGCACCCGGCATGTTAATGTCCCGCTGAAGACTGTTGGTCTGGAGGCTGAACGTCCAGACCAGACGAAGGCCGGCGGGTGGAGACACTTGTTGGACAAACAGGAGAAAAAGTTTATGGGGTTTATTTGAAAAACAACATTTTAATGCAGCTCTAATTTCAGAAGAAAAGTGAAAACATTTGGAGCGTAAGGTCACGTTCTTCAAATAAAGCCTTTAATTCTCTAAACCTCCAAACCCACCGGCTGGATTTTGGAAAATTACAACAACAAAATACTGAAAACGCCAAAAGAATGTTTAGATTTTCAACGTTTCAGCTGTTTTGAACCAATCAGTTCACTGATAAAACAACCAAATCCTTTATTTAAAGCACTTCACGTCTCCTTTCACAACATGCCAAAAACAAATCGCTTACAGTCGCTAGAGTCTGTAAAAAAACTAAAAAATCTCCTTGATTCAGTCAAGAAGTCTCGGCTGACTCACCTGCAGTGAACACATAACGAACATTCAGGGACTTCTTTGGGCTGAACTGCAGGCTGTGTAGACGAGCGTGGAAACAAATTAGAAATGTAGGTAGTAAATTATCTATATTGTACATGGAACTGTTTCTCTGTTATGTGCTGTTTGGTCAAGAAGCTTCACCAAATCTATTCTTAAAACTGTGACTTTCCATTAAAGTCACTTCATTCTGCATGTCTCATTTAACGATGTGCCAAAACACAAGCTGTTTGCTCCAACCACAATATAGAAAAAGCAAAAGATTCTCGGTGCTACGATAAAACCATGACTGACTCAGCTGTAGGCAACACTTATGGATATTTAGGAGACGAGTACAGACACAAATTACAAATTTAAGCAGTAAAAACAATACCTTTAGTACATAGACGCCGTTTTCCTCCAGTGTTGCTAACACCTGTGTTCACTCAGATAAATGTTGACTCCAGGTTTTTTCAGTATGCGGAAGATGATTTTTGTT